AAGGACCGTCGTGCTTTGGACGAAGAAGGTACAAATAATGGTGCCCGTTATGAAAATTATAGTTTTGTACGGTAAAATTTAAAATTCAAGCTTCAAATTATTGTTTATTTTTTTAATTGCACATAATTTTGACTTCAATTTGATGAGTTCGTAAAGACATCAATAACTTATTATTTATTAGTCCTAAGTTGGTGGCATAAATTCGTTCTCATTTGATTTTAGATGAGTGATTTTGAAATGGAAAATGCACGTTGCCTACGTCCAAAATTTTTCCCTCTTCTATAATACTTGATGTGCTCTAAATATTGTTAACTTTTGCAATGGACTAATAGATTAAAATTTTGATTAATGGTGAAAATAAAAGAATTGTGGAAATGGAAAAAGGGTTCATTAGTTGTCTAAGAAAGGAAGATTAATGTGGACTATATTGAACTAACTTTGAGACTTGGGTAAAATTTATGGACACGGCTCAACCAATTTGAATAGTATCTGAGCATTATGAAATTTGTTTGTGGTTTAGGAGTTGCATTAAATGCTCTGAAGCTGGATTCTGCGTCTATTGCATCAAGTATCATGCTGATTTCACTCCAGCATTCTTTCCCAAACTGTTTGAGCTTCCCAAAGCCTAATGGGCAATTGATGAAAGTATTCGTGACATGCTTATTATAAATTGGAATGCCCCGTATGATTACTACGAAAAGATGGATGTGAAGCAAGCATATTATCTATTAATAGAATATCTTCAGGTTTCCTAGCATCTCGAGCAAATCACTTTCCTTGAAATGCATACAAAAATCCATAATCCTCATATCTGTATCCTTATTATATGTAACAGGGTAGAGCAATATTAAATGCAGTTGGAAAATTTGGAGCTTACCGGTGCTTTGCTGAGGCACTGAGAAAGTTTGGCCATAAGGTTCATGCAACGTTAATGTTTAGCATCATGCAACAAACTAACATGCTTTTCAACATGTATGCCTTCATAGTCTAGTTCTCAACACCTCAAACTCAGTGGGACTATTGCGGAAGTTCGCTCCAAGGATCTCCAAATCGCTGTTTTTGGGGCTCAATCCAACGTACCATTCTCTACCAAATAATCAAACCAACGGGCTCCTATCCACAACCAATATATTCATCTTGTTTGCTATTCAATCTTACCCACAAAGGACAAGAAACAATAATGATTTGTAGCTACAAAAATAAGGAGAAAACACAACAAATGTAGGCTATGAAGGGACCACAAATTATTCAAAGTAATGAATTGATTTTGGACACCAAAAAGGTCGATTTTCACACTTCAAATGGGGCATTCGAAAATTCTCCTTTTGCACACACATATCACACTAGAAAGTGGCTAGGGTTATAGCCTTATAAGTAGTCTAGGATTAGGCTTTAAGTTAGACCTATAAGAGACCTAAACAAGCCAAAATTCAAGTCATCCAAGAGGAAATACAATTGGACTGGGTGGAGCTCATGGACTTAGTTATTGGACTTATTTTATTCATCGGTCTAGATCTATGAAATACATTATCCCACGTTAACATCATAACTGGGATTTATTGGGTATAAAAAAAAACCCAACAATGACAAACTCCCAATTAATTCAAACACAATTGGAAATTTCATTTCCTCAAAGTGTTTAGTATCAAAACTATAATTGGTAAAGAGGTACTAGTAATACTCAAGAAAAATAAGTTTTGCAAATAGCAGGGTGTAAGAAAATCATTTGCCAAGTCAGTGATTGAAGTAAAATTTTCCCATAACTTATCGTGTTTTAACTTATTGTCACCTTTTATTAGTGTGTAACAAAATCTTTACATAAATGTAAACGACATGCCCTAGCATACTGAATCAAGTGCATAGAAGCATCATAAATAATGACAACAATCGTCAATAACAACTAAATTTATTCCACTTTTGCACTGAAAAATGTTGGCTACCTTGGGTTTATAAGATGTTGATGAAACTCTATTCTTATTCTTTGAAAGTGGTTCTTCATCAATATTCTCTTTTCATATTTAACCTACTTTTTCCAACCATGATAGAAATAGGAGTTGGAGTCAGGTGTCAGAGCCGTGTCGCTTCTGAGAGTACCAAATTATTATATGAATCTTGTAGGAAAGCAAAAAAAATGGCTCCCTAGATGCTAAATTAAGCAACAAAAATAAGAAGAAAAGTAAATATGAATGCTTGAAATGTAAAATGACTTTCAGTTCTTATCAGGCTCTTGGAAGACATAGGCCATGTCAGAAAACAAGTATGCCATTTTTAGTCGAGATATGAAACCGATGAGAATAGTTCAGATGGTGCTACTTATTTCAGAACGATCGATAACTTTGGGGAGTTATCTTTTAGAAACTGAAAACCAACAGCTGAAACTTCATCCCTATATGTTGAGAAGAGAATTAAGCCTATGCAAAGTAATGACCATGTGTGTTCGTTTCGCTGCAGGGTTTTTAAGAGTGGCCAGGCTTTAGGTGGATATAAGAGGTCATATTTTATCAATGATCATGATGGAAACAACAGTCGAAATCCAACAAACAAGCTAGAGCTTCCTCATTTACTTGATTTTAATCTTTCAGCTCCAGACAAGGACGAGGATTATGGACATGGCCAGTGGTTCGCATCATTGGTTCGTTATAAAAAACAATAAAAAATAAAAAAATAAAACCATAGGCACAAAGTATTGTATTGTCGGCTTCTTGAAGATACTCTAGTGATAATTTAGTAGACAATGATCCTCGTCATGTTTTGTTTTGAAGATAAGGATGTTATAGGAATTGCAGTTTCGTTGTTGGTATCGACTGTAAGAAGCATCGAAATAAAATGCCTAGATTTTTGCAGAAGTCAAATATATCCATTTGTTTCATTTGTAACACTGATGCTATAACTGACATCTTTTGTTAGTCTTTTCATTATGCACCTGCATCAAAGACTAATTCATTTCATTTTAGATATGTAATTAATGTCCTCCTAGTATGCAATCTCAAGCAGCTCAGTATAGTTCACTTCTCTCGGAATTCTACCATCTGAATAACACTAGAATGATTTGTTTTGAATTCACCTCGATTTTATTACCTTGAATATTTACATATGCTTTATACCATCGAGCACATAACTGCAGTAAGTTAGCCTGCTCTACTTATTACTGGGAGTTTTGGTTTCTAACATTGGAATAGAAGTTTTTGATGGATATAATGAATAGTAAGAAACAACTCGAGTATAAACCAAGCTTAAAAGTTACTTATTTGGAAAGAAAATTATGACTTGACTTAAAAAGTAAGTTTTTGTACATAGAGTATTGTTGACCCCAAAAAGTGTTGCCAACAGATGCCGGACCCACCCGCGCACACGTGAGAGAAGGTCCTACACGTTAAGACACGTGGAAGGTCTAGAACGAACGAATCAGGGGCGTGGGAGTAGCTCAACGACACGGGATGAGAACGTTCGAAATCCGACGGGATGTTCTTAATCAGATTGTACAATAATTACCAATCAAAGTTTGTAAATGTATATCTAAATATGTATGAACTCGTTTGTGCTGCAAGATAATAAGAGAGGGTTGAGTAAAGTATGGTTTCTTGTATTGATTCTTGCATTCGTCCTTCAATGTTATACAAGGAAAGTATTTATAGTGTTACATGTGAAATGACAGCCCTTAGATGAGGTGGCACGTGGCCTCATCTCCTTAATTCAAACATCCAATCCTAGGCATCATCCTAGACTTGTTAGTTTGTTGCGCATTTATTGTTTGTATAGAACCCCCATGCCAGTGATAAGACTTGACATATGTACTCATGATAAACGTTCCACCAATCATTCAAATAAGATCTTTATGTAGAAGATCCCTTGAGAGAGGTGATCGTGGGAGACGTTCCTTTATGGTTCGGAGGCTTCTGCTTCAGGGCTTCGGCTATCTTTGCAGGCCTCAGTATATAGGCCTCGGTATGTAGGGCCTCGACCATGCATGCCACCTCGGCTGAAGTGTCACGTGGCTCGGATTGAGTGGGTCATAGGCCAAGTATGACAACACATAACAAGTATCATGAATCTTTCCTCAACAACCAGAACAAACAATATTGTTTTCTTGTCCATTCTACGCTCTTGACCATTCTATAGTCTATATATTGAATCACTTTCAGATTTCAACCTCACTTCAGATCCAACTTTCTGCCACTAAAGTGTTTAAAGTTTCTCTCCTTCTCTCTCTCTTTTTTTTCTTTGACTTGACAAATTAAGTGTATGTTTGGCAAATCTTAAAAATTTTAAGCATGTCAAACATACTTTTTATTAACACCAATTTACTACTCTATTATAATATTGGTCTAGTAGATTTGGACACCATTTACAAGTATTAGTATATCGAAAATTGACGGGCTGACGCTAAGAGCCCTATTCGATTGATGAAATGAGAGTTTTCTCTTGACAAGTTTATATGAAGCTCAGTCTAATAATTATCCCTACCTCTCATGTTGATAAAGTATGCGCATCGAATCTTATATTAAGATTTGGAAGATAGGACTTAAAATCTACTTACTATCAAGAATTCATGAACAATGACGTTGAGTATTTTGTTGAGGATTTATGCAATTTAGTTTAGGAACGTGATGAATAGCACAATTGAAACACACTGATTCATGATAATTTCAAGATTTGACAATCAATACTTGATTTATTAAGATTGATTTTATCAACATATTCGTAGATCCCGAATAATATCAAATAATTGATGAAAATTGAATCAAATCACGAAAAATTTATTCATTAATTAAAAATCCCTTAAAAGCCAAACAAGCTATTTACACTCAAATCGTGTATTCCTATGATCGCGACTCTAACAAAAAAAGAAGAATGTTACTTATAAATTGATGAGGAGGAAAGATATTGAATAAAAAAATAAATTATATATTAAACTAATAAATGATATACTGACATATGACATTATATAATTGATCGTGAAAAGTTTGACGTTGAATGCCCAAAGAAATTGATGCAGAGAAAACCCTTTCCTACGCTGCTACGTGGCATCCAATCATTGCCCCATTACCTCTGTAAAAAATTCCACCGTGCAGCCCCTTGTCTTTCTTCATCGAGGTTTCTCTCTGAGAACTTCTCTTTGTAGAAAGCTCAAATTCCACGAATCAATGGCGCTTCGCCACCTTCTCCGCCGGGTTAGGGTCGTTAGTCCCGATCCTCACCGAGCTTACGTTGCCCGATCCATATCCCAATCACTCGCCGAAGCCCCTGAAACCTCACTCCCTTCACCGCCACCCCCAGACCGCATGATCTACGATCAGTTAGCTGAAGCCGTGAAATCAAAGCTCAGACGGCTCGAAAACCCCGACTCACGGTTCTTAAAGCACGCATCGCCCTTTCCGGTAACTACTGATCACACACCGATTCTATCCTTGCCAGAAACCAAAATTACGACTTTACCCAATGGTCTCCGAGTAGCCACCGAGTCCAATCTCGCTTCGCACACTGCCACTGTAGCAGTCTATATCGACGCTGGGTCAAGGTTTGAGACTGACGAAACCAATGGCGTGGCTCATTTTTTGGAGCATATGATATTTAAGGGTACTGAGAAGCGGCCAGTGAAGGTTCTGGAGGAGGAGATTGAGAATTTGGGCGGACATTTGAATGCGCACACTTCGCGTGAGCAGACCGCATATTATGCTAAAGTGATGGGGGATGATGTGCCCAAGGCTTTGGATATCCTCGCAGATATCTTGCAGAACTCAGTCTTCGATGAGAAAAGGATCGAGATAGAGCGCCATGTGATTCTCCGCGAAATGGAAGAGGTAAGAATGTTGTAAGGTTGAAGCATTTCTAGTCCTTTGTGTAGAGTTTCCTTAAATCCTTTAACCGGAAAACTTCAAGTTAGTGAAAAGTGCTAACTAGAAAAGACTGAATGGAATGAAACTAGAAAAGTGAAGACTGATAGGAATGGTAATGGGAGAAGATATGTCCGAAATTTTAAATGTTATGAGGAATTAGTATTATGCTACTTCAGTTTTTGATGAAGATTATCAAGAGTGAATTTTTGTGAAGAGAGAGGGAATTCATCACTCAAAGCTATACATCTGTATGAAGATTATACAGCGTGATTATTTATTGATCTATGGTGATGTGTTGGGTGAATATTTGGTCAGTTTGGAAGAAAGGCACACACTTTATAGTTTTTGGGAGTTCAGCTGTCGGTTGTTAGTTGTGCTGTAAAATCATAGTTTTTGAATTTTGAGTGAATGATCCAGTAGATGAAAATTTAGAAAATAACTTGTGCAGAATGACAAAGGTTATCTAAATTAACAATCAAAATGATATGGTCAAATGACGAATTCCAATATTGGAATTTCTATGTTCTAACAACGACGAAATATTTAAAAGGGAGAATCTTTGAAATGGGACTTTTAAATTAGTCTACTGGAATTAACGGCTTCAATGGGTTTTCATTAGCTATACATAATAAACCAATGTGGTATATCCCTATCATAATATATACACAGTTACAATGTTTAGAAAGGATATATTGAGTAGCAGAGTGTGTTAGTGTGTTACTTCATGAGGTGAGACATAAGCCTCCAGATGTATTCTTCAAAAAGTAAGATTATGCTTCAAATAAAGCGAATGGTATCTTGAATATTGATAACAAAATATTTAACAATAAAAGTTTAAGTTGCTAACAAAGAAAATAGATCAATAACATAGCAAATAATAAATCTTTACATTAATGATCAAATGACAGCATTGTACTTGACAACATTGTAAAAGACTATTAAAACTAGAGAACGCCTATTTATGGAAATTATGCACATGTCACATCTTTGATGAAAAAATGAATATGCCTTGGCGAAGTGACATGTTGAAGACATGATTAAACTAAATAAGTTTGGTTCCTCTCTAACAACCGTCAAGGTCATTAGGCTTCAGTTATGCAATCGTAGAAATTTAAGAATTCTGAAATCACAATGCACAATAAACATGGCTATACATTTAACCAAAACTTCTACGCCTCCAGAAAATTTAACAATTGACAATCAAGTGAATCCTATCCACAAAATAATTTGATCTATGGATGATATATTTGTGGTAAAGGTCATAATGCCAGAGAATTATTACCAGGACACATGGATGGGAGGTCACAAGTTTTTGCATCATAGAATTGAGATTTTTAACAGATTGAAGAAGGCATATAAGGTAGAAGTCTACTCATATAATACACCTTTGATACAGTAGATTCTGTGGGTATATATTTATGTTTGTAAGTTTGCATGTATATAAAAATCCATGCGTGCATCTATATGTATTTAACTAGTTAGATCGAGAGTTTAAGAACTAGCATAACCGGTTTAAAACTCTTTGGCAGGTGGGACAAAGCGATGAAGAAGTGATCTTTGACCACCTACAAGCAACAGCATACCAGTACACGCCTTTGGGAAGAACCATTCTTGGACCTGTTGAGAATATCCAGGCAATGACGAAAGAGCATATAAGGGATTACATTTCTACCCACTATGCTGCTCATAGGATGGTACTGTAAAACAAAACTATATGTTCAATGCATCTATCGCAACTCTGTTTCTGTTTAATTCTTTTACCGAAGTGTTGGTCATTCAAGGAGATTATTAAAAGTTGCATGCTTCGTGAATTTTTGCTGCAGGTAATATCAGCTGCTGGAGCTGTTAAGCATGAAGAAGTTGTTGAACAGGTTAAGAAGCTTTTCACAAAGTTGTCTGCTCATCCCACTGTTACATCTCAGTTAATTGCAGAGAATCCAACTATATTCACTGGTTCAGAGGTGGGCGAGCAGTCTTTTTTGACTATATTTTTATGATACATGTTCTGTGTTCATATCTGGGTATTAGCATAATTCGACATCACCATGTAATTTAGGTTCGAATGATTAATGATGACATTCCTCTGGCTCAATTTGCTGTTGCATTCGGTGGAGCATCATGGACAGATCCAGATTCAGTTGCTTTGATGATCATGCAATTGATGCTGGGATCATGGAACAAAAATGCTGGAGGCGGAAAGCATATGGGGTGAGTCCATATTTTTCTTTAGATATCTGTACACATCTATCATGGACTTGGGCCTCTATATATGTACATGTTTGTGCAAGAACGTGCATGTGTTATGATGTATCTATGTATATGTATATCCACACACATATATCTATGTATACGTCCAATCCTATGATAGATGATTTGTCTGTGCATGTGTTATATATGCATGCATGTAGTGACATCAATACTTATATGCCTGCGCGATGGATCCCTCTTGCATCTTTGTGCCTTTGCATGTGATTGGAAGCTAATGGTAGTCATAGACTTTCGGTTTTCTGTTCCTAATAGAGTTTCAAAAAGCCAATGAGACTATTGAGTTTTTTCTTGGGTTTGATGTGCATTTGTTTCAAAATCTTTAACAGCTCCGAACTTGGACAAAAAGTGGCGATTAATGAAGTAGCTGAGAGCTACATGGCTTTTAACACCAATTATAAAGACACCGGGCTTTTTGGTGTCTATGCCGTGGCCAAGGTGAGCCAACTTTTCCAAAAGGCTATTTTATGGGTTTTGAGGAAAGTTCTTGCTCCAAATTTCTTTTATTCGTATGCACTGTATTTTTAAGGATGCTTTGTATTTGACCATTTGTGTTCCCCCAAATCATTACTGAAGGAACAAGGGGGGAAAAGCTTGCTATTTCAATGCATGGTATTAGCTTTTTTTTAACTGGCGAGATGTTTTGCTTGCTTTGGATCATTTTGCAAATGAATAAATGGAGATATAATATGTCATTGCTTGGAAAAACTTAAGGTAAATGAAGCATGTTAAGTTGATGTGTTGGGAAATTAAGTTGGTGAACATCAAAGGAAAAGTAGCTTTGTTCTTTTCTTTTAGAGTATGTGGTAAGTCTAAACAGTTTTAGGCTCGTTTCCTAATCTTGCAATGAAACAATGACTTCTCTTAGTGGAAGGTTTGTATATATATATACATACATACATATACTTATACATATATACATACATTTTTTTTTTTTAATTTGATTATTCAAATTTACTTTTTTAAATAATTCTAGAAGATTAAGGTTAGGATGTGGATAGTGATTTTTGTAGGAAGAACAGTATTTGAGTCATTTGCATGATTAAACCATATCAAAAGTAGCTTTGTCACTAATCCTCCCTTTTTCGTCAAAATAAGAGACGTTTCTTATATATATATATATACATACATACATATACTTATACATATATACATACATTTTTTTTTTTTAATTTGATTATTCAAATTTACTTTTTTAAATAATTCTAGAAGATTAAGGTTAGGATGTGGATAGTGATTTTTGTAGGAAGAACAGTATTTGAGTCATTTGCATGATTAAACCATATCAAAAGTAGCTTTGTCACTAATCCTCCCTTTTTCGTCAAAATAAGAGACGTTTCTTATTATAAGGAAAAAGCTAACTTATTAGCTAAAATATGTAAAAATGAAAAAGTTGTTTATGAGTTTACTTAGAAGGTACGCCAAACAGTGTCCCAAATCAGCCACTAGTGAATGTTACTGTGAACTTCTATCTGCATTGTGGTAAGTCCAGTTGATTACCTGTGAACTTCAGATTAAAATTCCATGACTAACTGTGTATTTTGTGTTTTGCTTCTACTAGCCGGATTGTGTGGATGACTTAGCTTATGCTATTATGTACGAGATAAGTAAGTTATGTTACCAAGTCTCGGAACTTGATGCCATTCGTGCTCGTAATCAGGTATTTCACGGCCCCTTCTTCCTGCATTAGAATCTTTATTTCACAATCAAGTCATGGTTTTGTTTAAAGTATGTAGGCACCCGCTTGTCGAATTCCCTACTTTTTAATTTATTCTTTATTCCATCATGTACTTCTCCTTCATATTACTACATGAGGGTCATTGGTGAAGCATGACACTTGGTTCCCATCTATATTATAGTTACTACTAAATTATAATATTGAATCATGTGGCTCCATCTGGATACATTTCCTTAAGATATATGGAAAAGGTTAAAACTGGCTCTACCGTTGACCTAGAGATGCACATATGGGGCTAATGCAAAAGTGAAAGTAAACACCTTTAGGGTCTGTGCTGAATAGGATGTTTTAGTAATGTAACATTCAATCATTGCCAGATTCAAAAACTTGTACAGATTTGTAGTTTGAATTATGCAGTTCATTATTTAAGTGGTTCGTTCTTTGTACCTACCTTGAGTCAAATATGTTCTGCAGTAAATTATTTGAGTCCTGTGCATTTTGCCATTTTGTTCTCGGAGTTCTACTTCTCATCTTTGGCCAAGAGTCCATGCTTGGTGATTGATGCAAGGACTGTATATTTCGTTTCTTAAATTGTTTCTATAGAAGTCCTCTGGATTGCATACTTCTCTGTTGGAAGCTGTGATTTTTATCTTGGACAAATCTTAACATGGAGGTAGACTATTTGTATGCCTGAAGCTCAATTTAGCACACAACACAACTTAATTCTTACCACCTCTTTTATTTGTTACTACTGTAGCAATGGGGCTAGGATTCATGTTGCATTGCATAATCCCATTGCGCATGCACAAGCTTCACTTTACATTATACTCATTTGAAAAGGAGGAAAGAAATGGCTTTCCACATTGCTGCTCATCCTTTGGGGCTCCATAATTAGGAGTTAAAGAAATGGCTTTCCACATTGCTGCTCATCCTTTGGGGCTCCATAATTAGGAGTTCAATTCATCTCTTTTTTTTCATTATCATTGCATCTGATGTTTTATATGTAACAAATGGAAATTGCTAAAAAAATAAATTTGCTACTTTTTTTATCAGTAAGAAGGAATTGTATTAGTTTTTGTACCAATGATTTACAGTCAGGAGTTCAAAAGAAATGTTGATAGAAGCAATTCACTAACTAATGTACTATTTGCAGCTGAAAACTGCTTTACTTCTGGATGGAACCAGTCCTACTGCTGAAGACATAGGGCGTCAGGTATGATTGCTTTGAATTAATAAAACAATAACAGCTATATAATCATTTAGTATAAATGTCTATGGCTCAATGAAGCAGGCTGAAGTATACTTGTGCTTAAATATGATGGTTCTGTGGTTAATTTCTCTCTCTCTCTCTTATGGCTCAAACTATCTGATAATTCTCTAAACCACTTGACTTGGTATTGTCGCTATAAGCTTGATGGCAGAAATTCAACTCCTTCATTACTGTGTCCAACCTTATGTGTAATTGATTCCTTCGTTCAATATTATTTCTGGCTGTTGTGGATGTAAAGATTGATTATCTGTTGGCGTTATCCGTGGAGCACAACTGCTCTGGCTTTTTAGTAGTATGAACTCAGCTTCAGGGGTTTACAAGTTTCCATCACAATCTTTCTTTTGTTTTTGACTATGCATGGGTGGAAAGTACCATGACCTGAAACCTTTCTTAGATCAAAGCTTAAAGAAATGACCCCGGTNTTACATTATACTCATTTGAAAAGGAGGAAAGAAATGGCTTTCCACATTGCTGCTCATCCTTTGGGGCTCCATAATTAGGAGTTCAATTCATCTCTTTTTTTTAATTATCATTGCATCTGATGTTTTATATGTAACAAATAGAAATTGCTAAAAAAATAAATTTGCTACTTTTTTTATCAGTAAGAAGGAATTGTATTAGTTTTTGTACCAATGATTTACAGTCAGGAGTTCAAAAGAAATGTTGATAGAAGCAATTCACTAACTAATGTACTATTTGCAGCTGAAAACTGCTTTACTTCTGGATGGAACCAGTCCTACTGCTGAAGACATAGGGCGTCAGGTATGATTGCTTTGAATTAATAAAACAATAACAGCTATATAATCATTTAGTATAAATGTCTATGGCTCAATGAAGCAGGCTGAAGTATACTTGTGCTTAAATATGATGGTTCTGTGGTTAATTTCTCTCTCTCTCTCTCATGGCTCAAACTATCTGATAATTCTCTAAACCACTGTGCTTGATGGCAGAAATTCAACTCCTTCATTACTGTGTCCAACCTTATGTGTAATTGATTCCTTCGTTCAATATTATTTCTGGCTGTTGTGGATGTAAAGATTGATTATCTGTTGGCGTTATCCGTGGAGCACAACTGCTCTGGCTTTTTAGTAGTATGAACTCAGCTTCAGAGGTTTACAAGTTTCCATCACAATCTTCCTTTTGTTTTTGACTATGCATGGGTGGAAAGTACCATGACCTGAAACCTTTCTTAGATCAAAGCTTAAAGAAATGACCCCGGTTGTCACAGATTCTGTGTTATTGGAACAATGTAATTCAATGTGAATTTAAAATAGCAGCCTTTTCTCACTATTGCTTTGTTATGGCTATTATGCTCCTGATACTGAAAGCATAGTTTCTCCCATAAAACTGCAATTCTTTTTTTGAGACCAATGAAAGATGAGAATAAATAAGTGAAAATTCTTTATGGAGTCGAAGAATTGACAAACTAAGAGTTACTAGAATGTGTGCATGTTGCTCACCCCTAGTTCAGTATCCCAGCTCTACCACTGCCAGAAAATACAGACCACAAATGAAAGATAAATACAGAAATTTCCTAAACTGAACATCATCACCACTTTTGAAACTTACTATTCAAACCAAAGGCTTTCAACAACTATTTATGGCATAACCTAGTGCATAACTGGTCTACTATATGTTGTGAATGAAAATCAGATACCTGTGCTTTTTTATTTGTATTGGGTTTTGGGATGCAGTACTAAGTGCTACCTTGTGCATTAATTTATTTCTTCTGCAGTTAATTACATATGGGCGAAGAATTCCGTATGCTGAGCTGTTTGCAAGGATTGATGCAGTAGATGCAAGCACTATCAAGCGCGTTGCAAACCGATTTATTTTTGACCGAGTAAGCTCTCTGTTCTTGTGATACCTGTAATTTAAAATGTTCAAATTTGACCAGTTAACAAGTCTTACCTTCCTTAGTATAATCCAAGGTGGTGGAGAGTGTTTCTTCATCAATGCAATAATAGGATTCACAGACCTATTGTATATAGAGAAGAAGCTGATGGAAGTGTATATTTATTTGATGGAGCTGTCCATAACAATTGTTTGGTGTGGGTGGAAAGAAAGAAAGCAAAGGAAAAGGCAGAAGAGGAAAGTAAGAAAATAAAAAGAAGAAAATGGATTAAACTATTTTCTTTCTTTAATTTCGAATAGACAGTGTGTAAATCATAGATCATACTGAGACAAAACGAATGGAGAAATCTATCAACATTTCATTTACTTTTCCTTCCTCTATTACAAATAAAAGACTTTTAAATATATAAAATTACGGCTTGTGGGATTCAAGAAGAAATATCCATGGCACGTGCATGTCTCTTTTAAATTTAAACTATTTAAGAGAATTAACTCTTGATTATACATTACTTGTGGAACAACTCAAAATCAGTAATGTTGGCAAGGGAAATTTATCTTAACCAAGACAATCTTCATCATCTCAATTGACCTTTCTTAGGTGTTATGTTTCTCACGTCCTATGCCTCATAATTTGTCTACCTTTGGTTTTTGCAGGACATTGTAATTTCGGCTAGGGGACCTATTCAGGGTTTACCTGATTATAACTGGTTCAGACGCCGGACTTACTGGCTGCGCTACTAGGTGGTTCATCATTCTTTGCTTTTTTATTTTGTTACCGTTTCCATTTCGAGCTTTTACTTTTGCACGGAGGCTTTTGTTATATATCTCTTCACAAGAGGCGAGTCTAAATAATTTAAGCCTTCTTGTTCTTATCTCCTTGCTTTCAACTAGTTCAAGAAATTACTATGACCAAATTTTTCATTTGCTGGGGGGTAGTGAATAATAAAGCAAATTGATGTATATTGAGAATGATATTAGTTATATAGAGATCTTAGTTCATCTCTCAGGGACAAACAGTTTTAACCATAATAAATGGCTTCATTATTTACATGAAAGAATTTCTATGGTTGGATTTTTTGTGTATAGCACAGCACGACTTGGAGGGCACGAGGTTAACTAGCTAGCCTTGATTTATTATATGGTAGTAAAGGTTCAGCTTGCTATTGGTTTGTACCGCCTTGGCTGAGGCTAGATGAACTCCCCAACTAGGATTTGTTGTGGCTTGATATGTTCACTCTAGTCTTATTAGTGGAGGTCGGCTTACCTGAGAACTTGTTTTACCATGTGTTTGTCTCTGTACATGCTTATATAAGACTACTTATGATGAGGAATCATATCGTCTTTGTGAAAAAATTTACATGACCAAATTTAAAGTAAAATTATGCAGTTATTCATGCCACGTTGAAGATCCAAAAGCCAATTTGTATACAATAAATAGAGCAAAATATGAAATGGTAAATAGAGCTTCTATTGCATTGCTATTCTTGAGAAGGGAATGGTTTTTAAGAATCAATTTCTAAACAGACTGCTAATGATTTTCATCTCAATGTTTCCGTGCACAATAACATTCATCGATGAATATGAATTCATCTTCGAAAAAGTATATATCTTCTTCCATTGTTGAATGTTTCTTGTACCTACTCGTGTCCCGAACTTTGCACACCACGTAGTTTTCATACTGCAATAATTGAAATAAACATCATGAGTTGGAATGCCGAATCGAAACGAAGTCAAACAATACTTAAGTTTGATGACTAAAGGCGCTTCTTTAACCGGGAAAATTCTCGAAAGAGAAAACAACTTACATTGGTCTGAGAAAGATCTTCCATGAAACTGGGATTTATTCTATATTCAGTCATCTTCCAATTGCTATCTTCTCTATTACCTGGCTCTTGCCATACAAATATTGTCTTGAAACCTAAAATTCCACTGTCATTATGAATAGGAATTTCCCTTCCACATCTTCTCCAATAGCCATTAGAAATTGGGCTTCGTATTAATCTTGATCCCTCTAAGTATTTTTGTTGTTGGCGTGTGAAAAAGTATGCTTTGCCTTCTGTTCCATACTTCAGAGTCTCGAATTCTCCTATAAACAAATGCAGCCAAAATTTAATGTCAGGGAAAAAGAAAGTTACCGTGACAATTAGAGTTATATATGACCAAAGTGCAGGATTTTGATAATTTTTGATATCATGAATCCAATTTGGAAAGACCCGTACGCATATTTGGTACATTAGATTAGACTGAACTGCCCGTTTATAACTAAGAACAGCTAAAAAAGGCAAAATAGTATATGGTTTAAGCAAAGAAAGTGCCATACACCTAACATGCTTTGGCCTCGTTTTACCAGGCACTTGAATCTTAGAATATACAGATATGAAACTCTGTGCGAGGATGTTCAGATTTGATGCTTTATGCACCAGAATAAGGAGATTGGAGCTTACCTATTGGTAGCTGTGCAGGATCATATTGATAGAAGTCAATTTCTTTAATAGTGTCCCAAAGAAGCTGTCTTGAGATCTTCTTCATCAAATACTCTTCCAATAATTCAACTGCTGTAGGATGAAAATGGTACCCGCGTGGTAATACAAATTCCTTCTTCGTCGTACTCGACTCATCATTAACTTCTTCAATGAATCGTAAATTCTCTTCATCTTCCTCTCTCGGGTTTTCAAGATTCGGTTCTTCAACTTTTACAACCAATTGCAAATCCTCTCCGAATTCATATCTCATCTTTTGATGTTGCAAGAGAAATCTTGAGCTCATGGCCATGTTTAAGGAAAAACTTCAAGAAAACACCTTAAAAGACTACAATATAAGTTAGCGAACGTTGTACTCTGGCATTGTGGAGTCCTCTATATATATAGGTAAGAGTATCCTTTTGTTAGTAATTATTATTATCTTTTGTCATTAATTAGAATCTGGGAATTATAGTAAGTCTTTTAGAATTATGAAAACCGATGGGGATTACTAATCCTTCATCAGATAGGAAAAGGCCTTTCGCTACTCTCTCATTTACAACGTTAATTCAAAACAAATTTGAGATTAGAATATGGTCTTAGTATAGAAGTCTATATGGAAAAGGAAAGTAATCGTGTCATTGAATTTCGGAATACATAGAAATCTTTCAGAATATTTCTTTATGACAAGACAAACTTTACAAGGAATGATGAATTGGGAGATTAACCCGTAGCCGTCGACTTAATGCGCCGTCGCGACTTCACCGTCGGAAGAAGAAAATTTCTTTCTCACTTTCGAATCGGCTTTTGAAAAAAATCTCACTTTGTACGCATTCTTTTAACATTAAGACAAATTATGTTCACACCACAATTTTTATTTCTTGTACCATTTATTCGTTATGGTTAGAATTCTTAAGCCTTGCTCGTTACAACACTTATGTCCCTAATAGTTTTCATGTCGTTCTTATCCTCAAACTTTACATTAGTTAACATTTTTTGTATGGAACAGGGCATTTTCCTACAGGGGTCTTACCGACCCTCACTGTAGGGGCGGCCCCACATGACAAAAAAAAAAAAATTACGCCGAGGCCTATGCATGTGTTGTTTGGCAAGAGTCTGCAAAACAGACCCTGTACCTGCAGCACCGTCCTTTTTGTATTTGATAACAATTTTATATCTAAAACCAGAAGTTCATTGAAACGGCATAAAACAACTTATTTTTTCATCATATTTTCAAAAAATAAATGAATAAAAAATATGAAAAAAATATTTTTTTCCTCGTTTGAACGCATGAAAACAAAATATTTTAATATAAATCATCATCAAGGATGAAATGTACTGATTAATAAAAGGTTAAAGATAAGAATTCGACAGAAAAGTTAAGATAATAATTGTTATAATGAGCAAAGATTAAAGAGTTTGACTACAATTCAAATGTGGTGTATTAAGTAAAAATTGTAGGGCAATATAACCACTTTAACATGTTTGGGCTTCATTTTAATGACGTTTGGGAAAAAATGTATTTTAGAATAGTAATTTTTTTTGAAGAATGCGATTAATAAAAGGGAAAAAATTTAGGTGAACTTGTAATATTAAAAAGTAAAAAAATTTAGATTTACGTGTAATATTATTTTATTAAAAAAAAAAGGAGGCAAATGCTCGAGTACTTTCCTTCACTTAGTTTCAGACACCTTTCTACTTAAGCCCAAACGAAATCATATTCATTAAGTATTCTAATCTAATTCAAATATTTCAACCCAAGACTCCTACATCTAGGAGGACTCTATCTCAAATATATTACCTAAATTATGATTGGCCTTGTAATTGTAGTACGAATCAAATATCTCTCCTAGGTATGACTATTTGAGATAAGAATATCCAACTGATTTAGTCCTATCGGGGAGTGCACTACTTAATCTTACTAAAAGTGCGCTACCTATCTCTATAAATACAAATGTTTATACAAATGTTTGGATCGTTATTTAGGTACGTCTTTACATACAACTTCAGCATATATCTTTTCGCATAATTTTCCTCTCTAACTTAAACATCGGAGGAGCAACGATGACACACCTCACTGCCTTTTTCTCAATTATCGGAAGGTCTTGTTCATGTTTTTTCTCAGTCCTCATCCTCGAAAAATCGAAAAATACGATTTTTGATAGTATCAGGTAGATCCATAGATTTCATAAACCGCCTCTATTAGCTTAAATTTCCAATTATACCCTTCTCTTATGTTAAATATATTTTTTAGTTTATCTTTTTTCCATATTATTTCATTAAATATATTTGTCAAAACTAACCATTATATTCTCTTGAAAAGGAATAAAGTTGATACATCATTTATTGTAATTCTGGTATAATAATAATAATATCTTCAATTTAATATTATGGCATGACAATGTATTCCGTCCCTACAACGCCTCACATTTACTCCATTCCAATTGTTATATATTTTACACTAAAAAATTAAATAAACGAGGATCAAATTGGCAAATTGGTTCAATTACATAATCAGATCTATTTTTTCCATGTTCAAAATATCCAATGATACTCTAATCTTCTCTCATTTCTTCGGAACTGAATCGGACCGAATCACATCCACTCCCAGATAGAACCCATAAAGGCATAGTACAACCAGCAATTTTCACAAGACATTAATAATTGTGTAAAAGCGACGAATAGCAACACCAACAGTTTGTCGAATGGGTAAGAAAACAAATTATTTACCAAACTCATTGAATTGTCATTTCAAAATGTATAGTACAGTATACAACACAATCAATGTATATTTCCATTTTAAAAAAAAAAAAAAAATTCAAAATTTTATAACCGTAAAATAGTTCGAAGAGTATCAGAAAGGTTCTGAATAGTCTGTTGCTCTTGTGCTGCTTGCATTTCCTGAAGTGGCATCTCTTCGTAGCACCTGGAAGTACATTCAAGAAATCAACATCATTCATTCGAGTCATAAAATATTTGAATTATAAAGTACATCGTTTCCAAAAGTGAAGCAAGACTTGCACTAGGCTAGGCCGTTATTACACCACAACTTTTGCATGGTTATGATAGAAAACTATATTCCATTCTTAGGGCGAAAAAAAACTTCTTACATTTTGTGGTACGCCAATGCCTGAGCAAGATTCATTAGAGTTGGACTTGAAGTAAGCCTTTGATATACACTTGGAGGAAGAGGCACCTGTATTGCACAAAGGCCGTTAAATAAAACAGCGATAAGATATCAACACAGAGAGAACTGGGGGAGAAAGAGAGTACCTCGTTTTGTCTGCTTCTACCCTTTTTAGGCTGAGTATCGCCAGTAAAAAGCTCCTGCATTGTTTCTATAGCCACCATTCCACCATTCTCCTGCTGCCATCCTCCAAGAACATTGTCGGACAAAAGTGCAATGGGGGATATATCCGTCGCCCTCAAAAATGGAATTGGCACTGTATTACCAGCAGAATATATGGACCAAAGCTATCATAGAGATAGAACTAGAATAAGAATATATAAAACAGGATAAAGTTCAATATAAAAACGCAAAACTGAAAGAAACTTTGTAGATAACATGAATATATCTAAAAACACCTCAGATCAGACATGCAAATTTGAGCACAATCACATCCCCATGACTCAAATAAAGAAAGAAACCGCAGCAGCAACCCAGACCTTTAAAAAGGAGGATGATAACTAGAAGTTATTTGGTATCCATCATGTAAAACTATAGCAGCTTCTATAACTTATTTATCTCGCATTAAGCAAGAGCAAACCTCACAGATGAAAAAGACTGATTACCAGGTAAGCTACTCCTTTTAGTTTTAGATGTCTAACAGGCTCAAATTCAATTTTGGCAGTCGGTAATAAATGATACTAGAGTATAACGTAAGACCAATAAGTTGATTTGAGATGTGGTCCTAGGGCCTACCTTGAGTGACACTCTTCAGTGTGTGACCTCAGTCAGTCACGTGATTTGGCGAAATCCTAAATGGGTTATACTAGCTTACAAATTATATGTAGTATGACACGCAAGGGTCTACCAAAACCAGCAAACCCCCTCTGCTACCCAACCAGCATCCCAACCATCACTTCTTGATAACTTCTTGCACCACCATGTGATTATGAGGTACTTCTGAAATATTTTCCAGAGTAATTTTTTGTAATCCACTATCTGTGTGGATTATTATTATTTTTATTTTATTTTTTTCTTTTGTATAGATTTTATCCCTTTTATACATTATATGAGTTTATATTATTTATTCACCGGCTCCGGTGAGAATCTCAGTCACAATTCTTCTAGGAATCATATCAGCATCCTCCCAATCATGCACCCACACCTGCAATCACATAGCATATCTGTCCAATACCCATGTCAATTAAATTCATCAATCTCAATTTCATGCTTTTAAATAAAATTCTAGTCTTCCGTTTTCCTTTAATCACATTGAGGAAAAGATTCATCTGTGAAATTTCAAAATTGAGGATAGAAACTACCTTGTCTAATGCTCTTCTGCTGACAGTCTCATTAGCAAGTGAAGTACCAGTGAGGCCAACACTACTGCCAACGGGTCCTTGGGGAACATTATTTGCCTTGAGGTTTTGTTCGGGTGATACAAACATGGGTGAAGATGCTCGAGATCCTACAATTGGGACATTGCCCATCCTGACACGTTAAATTCGTAAATAAGTTGGTTTACATTCAAAATTTTTTGCAGAAGTTATAGACACATTATTTATGCACATGTATATGAAGTAACTTCACTACTACTATGAAATTGCAATACTCAAATAAGGTGATATTAAAATGTGAAATAGAAACAAAAAGTAAAAATAGAAAACCAGAACTCACAATATTCTAATAGGTGATAAAATACTTTAATAGCTTACTTGAAAGTGAACCAAATGCAAATATATACCAACAGACAATTTTTCTGAAATAACAATTGTAGCACAAAGCAACCCTCCAGATTTTATGAAGGCCTTATCATGAAATGTTTGGAGAGATTAGCAACAAGTTAGTGCGAAATGCAAATGAGAGATCAGAGAACAAAGAAAAGGAAATTAAGATCCTACTATTCTATAACACCCTGAAAGGTCATAATAGTCGTTAATCTTGAATTTGGGACCTTAGTGTAAGATGTTGAAAGTTAGGGGACCAAATTGACTAATTTCCATTATTTAGGGACCATATTGCACATTGGCCCATAGTTGAGGGATCCCTTGTGCAATTTAGGAACTTGCTGTTTTTAGGTCAGGAAAAGATCATGAATTATTAGCTTAGTTCCTGTTTCTGTATGGATTTATACATGGGCATGATTTTGATGGAGAATACATAAAATACCATTTATGTGAGATAAATTAAGAAAGTTCATTCCTTGTTCACTTTTACCATAAATGTGCCACTCCGTCCATGATTAAATGAGAGATTCAAAGAATGATTAAAGAAAAATGATAAAATTCCTTATCCATGTCTCTGTGTGTGTGCGCGCATATATATATATATATTTTTATGTTAATTGTTTTAATTAAAAAAAAGTTAAATTTTATTAAGGAAAAAATTATGGAAATGAGCATAATGTCCATTTCTAATTTAAGGAATTGGCACGGATTAAGAAGAATTATTTTTATATATAATTACTATAATTAGCCCCTCATGGAGTGGCCGAGTTGGTGGAGTAAGTAAGCGCGGAGGCCTTTGGTCACGAATTCGATTCCCTCTATCAATATTTTCTCGGTCGAGCTTGTTGCACCGGACTTGCCTAGTGCGGTTTACTTGATTGGCGTGGTTTGCAGCTATTGCGCCAGCTCGAGGGTTTACAAAATGCACACCATAAGGGTAGCGGCTGCGAGTTTCCTCATCAACAAAAAAATAATAATAATAATTACTATAATTACATGTGTCTATACGTATATAATTATGACTTATTGATTTAAATTATATAATTACTATATTTACATGCATGTGTGTGTGTATATATATATAGATCGATTGATTTAAATTATTAAATTAATATAACTCATTACCTTATTTAGTGCACAATTATAGGGACACCATTATAACATTTTCCTTTAGTACCCCTAAACTCACCTATAAATACCTCACCTAAATTACACCCACAAACACACATAAATTATCACTTTGTTGAAGAAGTTAAATTCTCCTATACGTATTTACTACGATTATCTTCTAATTATCAAGTGTAGTCATACGTTTTATGTTGAATCTTTTCATACTTTAAAATACGAAAATCAATTTATTAATATGATATGGATCCTACATGTGTAAGTTCAAGGGACTAGAGTTTAGTAGCGCTACACACGGGAATCATAGCAACGAAGTACGGTTCTTAATTCCCGTATCTCCCTATGTAGGTCATGATTATGTACGGAGATTATGACCACCTAAATTGGGTTTATAATCCCTGTATCTCCTTATGTATGTTAAGAATTTCTAAATTTTAATATGAATTACAATTTATGTGGCTCACTTATTGGGATTTTATCTCACTATTTATGATTTTTTCCCTTTCAAATAATTAAGGTTTGAGGCGCTTTAGTTTGGAACTGGCCATTGGTGGTATAATAAAGATATTATTGAACAATTTATTATTTTACTTTTATCATTTAGTAATTCTTCTTTTTCAATTATTGTAATTAGGACGAAAGTTATATTTTTAAGAAAGTTTTTATTCTATGATACATATTAATGACTCAAAGGATAAGTTTTGAGTCGTACGTGTTCAGTTTACAGTTCATGGGTAGAAAGCTTCATATCTTCCTACTCCCGGTGACAACTAAATTTTTTTAGCCAGAGAGAGAAGGAGAGTGAGTATCAATTTGCTTTTCATTTTCCATCCATTACTCATCCCAAGGATCAACTGCTCATTATATGCAAGCAAAGTCAGATAACATGGGAAAGAGAGTTGAATAACAGGCACAACCATAATGCACAAGTAATTGAAGGGCAAAGACGCCTCCATTTTCTTTCTTGATGGTTGCCAATCAGGTCCTCATGAGAAAAATTGGAAATTAGAGAGAAGAATACCAAGAGTCGATTGCTTTATCTCCAACTCCACTGATTGAAAGACTTCCAGTACGCCTTAGAGCAGGAGAGGGTTCGTTTAAGCTTTTTAATGTTGTCACAGTAGCTGTTTTGCCAGTTTCAACTCTGTCATGAACTATTACTGTGCCAAGGTCACCTGGAAGATTATATCAGAAGTCGTCACACTAGCAAAATTCAGAAATTTGAGTTTCAATCCTATAAAACCCCAACAGTCATCCACAAGCAAAGAAAAACAATTAGAAAGAAGAAAAATAAAGCAATGCAAGTACGATCCTCATGGTATGCCGTACTTTCTTACCAAAAGTATCTTAAGGGTGACTACCTATAAGAAAAACCATAGTAGAAATTCATCCTTAAGTAACTCAGTTAGTCAAAGGTCTCATATGTGGATAGGTAGTCTCAAATTACTTAGAGAGTATGAGAGACATTACCTTCTCCATCTGGTTCCGCTCCACCAGGAGATGCCTCTTTATTTGTACCACTGACAGTGATAGCTCCATTTAGGACATGCAAATCGTCACGACGTTTAGATGGAACAGTGTTGACAACAGCTTCATGTGATGTTGAATCTCCCTGTGGCTACAAAAAGTACTAATGGTAAATCTAAAAATTTGAGAAAATGGCAAGTGTGTGCACGTATAAGAGAGAGAAAGATAGGACATCCTTTCCCTTTTACAATTTATGCAAGGAAAAAAGGACACGTGATTGTAAAACTAAAATGAACTCGTTTTGAAATGATACAATAATAAAATCAGTTTACCCCAACTCCAGGTAATGAAGTGCTTGATGTGGTATCCTGTGCTTGCAAAGCCATTGATGCCCTCATTTCCTTTGCCTTTTCAATCTTTGCCAACATTGCTGAAGCTTCATTTTTGCATTTTTCAATGAATTTGTGCTTGCATACAGAAAGGGCAGAGTAAAAGGTAAGAAGCAAAAGAAAGCAATAAATGCAACATACACTTAAATAAGATAAATTTTATGGAGACAATTCAACTGTCTTAACACAAATTCGCCACTTGTTCAACTTTTTCTTTTTTGGAGAATTCCTATTGCTTGTTCGTTGGTGTGATGCATTCTTTTGGATGCTTATCCAATCTGTGTTTCTTTTTCGTTTTGGTGGTTTTATGTGGTCCAATATTAAATTGGATTTTGAAAAGACAATTTACGTGTGAAAATAAAATAATTTTAGTTACAGAACAAGAGGAATCCACTCTAATCCTTCAAGGAGGCACTCCCATGATGATAGTGGTGCTAGTACAATTTTACCCGTAAGGAAATAAATTGCAGTGTCTATCCAAAGTGCATCAGAATTTAGTGGAAAGAAGAAGGAAATATCCATTCAATTGAAGCACTGGTTCAATATTGAAATTTCTGAAAAGAATTAATAATTCAGAGCAATAAACGTACAGTAGAAATGGCTAAGAAAAAAAATCATGAAATGCTCAACAGTCTATTAAAGATTATATATAGTCTCAGTGTAAGTTGAATATGTACAACTAAAAACAGAAAAGAAATACCATAAGCATCTCAGCTGCCATGGGTCGAAGGCGGGGGTCCTTTGTGAGGCACTTAGCAACAAAGTCATGGAAGACAAGTGACCTGAAACAATAAATTATTTGTCTCCAAATCACAAAATATAATGCAGATAGGTTGCATATATATTATATTGAGATGTAATAGGAGATTAAAAGCTAAAATTTTCTACATTCTCTTTCCACAACTTAAGGCCGGAATTTCAGGAACCTAATGATGACTTTTTGGCTTATGAAAATTATGTGATCATAGCCATAAAATGCTGGGTTTGCTAAAGCTCTGAGAACATGGACCTTGGGTGCCAGGCTTTCTCTTAGCAGATCAATATCCCAATTTTCAACGTGAAGACATTTAGGATCAAATTTTCAAATGAAGTACAGCAATATAATTCTATAATCCTGTTTCCACCAATTAAAAAGAAATCTTCTTTATCTTCTTACATTTGATCCTTTTCCAGAACCTTCCCATCTCCTAGATACTTTCATTAGTTCAAATTTGAGGGTATAAGCAAGAACTTAACCCTAATAAAGAGGACGTTGGTTCCAGAACCATAAAAAAAGATTGCTCTTCACATTGAAGTGTTAACACACTTGATATAATTAGCTATGAATTTATGAAAAGAAAAGTGAAAGTGGTGGCATTTTCGGAATTATTATGTACAATTATAACTTTGCTTTCTGGTTGGGAAGTGTTTGTCCTTTTCACTTCTTATTACTCTAATTAATATTCTTACATTTAAAGAATTTGCAAAATATATCAAGCAAGAAAATGAATGTTCACAGTTCCTGAAAGGCAGTCCCTAATTGATTTAAATGGCTAATTCTGAGCATTATAACAAAAATATTGGCGTGATATGATACACTGTAATTCATTTTAAAAAAAATAAAAAATAAAATCAACTTGAATTAGTATAGTTTACATAAAAAAATAAAAACAAAAAAGGAAAAGAAAAGAAAAACAAAAACAAAAACAAAAACTAGCAAAAGTAGCTGAACTGAGGACCATTTGTAGAAATGAGGGATAATAGAATATCGATGTGAATGAGTGGGCAGTGTAATCAGCCGGCACTGACTTTGATTTAATTAGGGTTTTTCATATTCCAATAGTGACTTCAATCAATTTTATGCAGATTTTGAACAATATAAGGACCAAAAAGTAAGAAGGCTAATAATTTCAGTGTCATGCAAAAGCATATTTAATGATGTCTTTGGATGAGTGTCATAGCAGCATAATGGAGAAGTATCAGAATGTCATGAATGGCAGCAAACTTCATATAGACCAGTGAATAATACAACTCAGCAATATAGCCAAGCAACCTTTCAGATAAAGCTTACTAACTAAAAAAAGGAATTAAAGACAAACCATCTCTCTTTATCCTCGAGCATTGGAGCAGGTTCACTGGAAATCATAAACAATACCTATCACAAGTTTTGAATATGTTAATCCTCTGAATATCAAATGATAAATTAGGTAGGCACAATATGATGATGCAAATGCAATTGTGATATTCTTTTGTTTTCTTATAAACCCTTAACAAGTGACAAACAAAATTACAATACAACTGTAACAATAACACAATTTCATAATGCAACACTTTGGAATCATGAGATGACATAAGTAATATAAATGTATATATGCTTGAATTCTTAGACTAACCCTCATAGGATGAACCGTTGCTCTAGGAGGAAGTCCCTGGAAAATAGAAAAAGTTTGAAGAGTCAGCAAATCATACATCAGTATTGATACTGCACCAATAGAAACCTCAAAAGGATTAAAACTGGGAACCCAGAGCAAGGGGATAAGGATTGCTGAAAGGGCCAATAAATATCAATTATACTATAACTAGACCAAATCTACAAACATACCTCTGCCATTTCTATTGCAGACACTCCCAGAGCCCATACATCTACCTGAGCAAGAATGTCAGAAAATATTAGCAATAACACCCCTCCTCTAAGTAAGGAGATATAATTTCAACTGTGAGCAAAAAATACCATCAAATAACAAAGCCAAAGAATTGGATAGCATATTTTCAGTCAGTTATGAAGTATGTGTTCAAATTGATTGACAATCAGGAAATTTTATTTTATGGTATTTTCCCCGACTTTGAGCTTTATTGTCAAAAAAGTTACCCCCCCAAATTCCTTTTTTGGGAAATAGAACATATCTTGATTTTTGACTATCTCCAAAAAAAATTTGAAATTAAACTTTCTAATTCGACGATTATTTCAATATGCATACGATTTAGATATCTGAGTTTCGGGGTTATTTATATGCCAAAATCATATCATGTACTAAAGAGTTGTGTCATTGAAAGTGAGAGAAAGAATTTCAGAAAATCACTTATTTACACTTGGTTTGCAATCATAATTTTGAAATTTGATATTAAAGGTTGAATAATGTTATTCATAATAAAGACTACCAACGGTCGTCATATGTGGTATACACTTGACAATTTGTTATTTGATGCGTATGACAATAAAAAACTACCATATTAGCCCCCGTTTGGCCTCCATTAAATTCAATTACATTACATTCCATTTTTCTCTCTCCTATTTTCAATCACACAATTTTTCATAAAATAATATTACACGTAAATCGAAAATTTTTCCTTCTTTTTCAACCAATCATTTTTCAAAAAAATACTATTCCCTCTATTTTCATTTTCAAAAAATGGGTGTCAAATGGGGGCTTAATGTATCAAATAACAAAATTGCATGTATATACCACATAGGGAGACTATTGGTGGTCTTTACTATAAATAACATTACTCTTAATGGTTATACAAATTACTTAATTTTTTAACCGGAAAAATGTTTGAAAAGATAAGGTTGGCTTAATTGGAAAAAGATTCTTTATTCTTGTCTTGTGTTAGGTAAAACCTATCCATGGAAATCCCATTAGATTATCATTTTCCAGGTTAAAATTCTTATTTTAAGAAAGTTAAGCGTTTGCTTACTAGATTTCCTATGATTTTATTAGATTAGATGTTTCATACTTGGCATATGTTTATTTACTAGGTTTTCTACGATTTTATTAGATGTTTCCTACTTGGAACAGGTTCATTGAAAACCTTTATAAAGGGGACTTATTAATTGTAATCCTTAGACTTTGATTATAAATAAATTTATATTTACTCCCCAATTTCTTCTATATTCTCTCCCGTTTCTTCTCTACCTTCTCTTCTCTTCTTCTCTTCCTTTCGTAATCTCATTCTCTGATCATTGCATTCTACGTCAAGCAACTTGAATATAAAAAAAACCAGACGAAGGTTTTTTTAAGGATGAAACTGGGACACATTAAGGAACTTCTCATGAGTCAAAGAAAGATTATTAAAATAAAGAAAAGGAGTGCAAGTGAATTTCACATTTAAAGACTGAGATTATTGAGTCAAATGTGAAGTTTTCATCCAAAGTATGGCATGTAAAGAGTCTCAATTAAACATCAAGAAGTTGTGTTAAGTTTCTGACTACAGGGCTATTCTTGTTAATAACATTGAAGACTTGCCATTACTTTATAAATTATTAGCAACGAATTTGAGGTTGAGTCTCATTATATTGTTAGGGTTCATTTGATGATACTCTTCCCCTTGAGATTAGTCCTCAACTATTTTTACTTGTCCATCGAAATGTACAATGAACAAACGATTAACCATTTCCTTCCATTCTTGAACATGGACATAATGGATATTTAATAGCACTACCATGGTATTTGTATAATAAATCAGTTTCGTTTTGAGGACTTCTCTGTTTGTCAAGATTTGTCGAGTTTTCCTTCGCTCTTTATCTCTGAAGATACAGGTGGACTTGATGTATCTTCAACTTCCATGCATTTTCATTGCTTTCATGTGCTTCACTCATTGAATATCAAGAGCAGTGCACATAATTCCTATCACAATAATGTTTTTCCATGGTTCTCTCTGGTTAGTAAAGATAAAAGACTATCTTGAGCATGGTTGCCTAGTTTCCATACGTATGTTAGCTTGAACTTGGCTACCATCTTGCTCATTATTTTATTTACAAAAGAAACTTCCAATTAGCCTGGAAGAATTGATGGGAAACGCCAAATATTGGATATTATGTGTTTAGTAATTTTTTGTTTATTTTAATTCATTTAATATTTGAATTTTTTATTTATGAAACACTGTAATTTACTATCAAATAAGCTATTTCCTAATTTAGCAATCTTTGTAAGCTGCCTATAAGAAACGGCCACATCAAAACATGCAGGTTTACCTTGCCATCATAACGGCTTTCTTGAATAACTTCTGGAGCCATCCAATGCGGTGTACCGATGAACTGAAAACAAACATTTTAACAATAAGGTATGCAATGGACAATTTTGAAGAAAAGTGAACAATTAGTGCAGCAGAGTGAGTGGATATTAAGTAAGACACTAAAATCACACATCAAAGACAGCAAATATTGTGAACGTAAAAAATATAGATAGATGTCATACTGATAAAATAGAGGACAAATACTTTTGAGGATGATCTGTACATTGGTTTCATCACATTCGGTTACTCTCTACTTTTGCATTTTCTGAGGGTCTCAAAAGTGAAACGAAACATAAATATCAACAATGCTTCAATCAATTTCCACCTGCTTAAGGACATTCGGTAATTAAGAACCCTGCTTAACTAGATCAACCAACATATTTTCCTTTTCTAAATGATGAAAGTCGGGTTTCACATACGTACAAAAGAACTAAAACAACCATAAAAATGTTTGCTTGCCTCCTCCCAATCATCTACCCCAAACACCTATGCTCATCATTTCTTCAAACATTAAACGGTCAAAAACCCTGATGAAATAGAATATGCATCAAGTTAATAGCTTGATACTTTTTGGGCGTATACATTCATTTCTTTATTTATATTCTAGGAAGGGAAGTGGAACAAGTTGAACTTTAAGTGTTGCCTCCTCCCAATCATCTACCCCAAACACCTATGCTCATCATTTCTTCAAACATTAAACGGTCAAAAATCAATTTCACAGATTTTATTTTCATATATTCAATAATTATAACATAAAATAAAAGAAAATATTTTGCCAAATACCAAATTTCCTCTTGTTTCTTGCAGTCAGAAAAGGATAGAATTCTTCTGTCAACCTATAAATCTAACATTTTTTTTCTGATATAGATCCTATAAGTTTATTTCCTCTAAACATGATACTTATTAACGTGCTATGACAGAAGAAACAGATAGATTTTGTAAACCTTAAAGTGAAGCCAAATCCTACAAGAAAGTCCAACCATAGTAAACAACCATGCGCCCACAAAAAAGTGTATACCATTAATTCCCTACTTATTCATGTGCAAATGTCAGTATAACAATTAATATTCAGCTACAAAAATACTTTGAATCATGGAAATTTTTCAAATTTAATTGCTAATATAGTATCAAAAGATAATAATTCTTTAGTTCACATAATTCCAAAGCATGGGGATTCCCCCCTCCATATATCCGGGAAATGGGAGAAGAATGAAGACTATTCAAACCTTCTGGAAAAGATATTTTTTAACAACGTTTTTTGGTTATGTACCAAAAATTTCAAATCTTCGTCACAACCATCTAAAAGACATGTAATTGAGCAAAATAATCCATCTTCCTGATTCCAAATAAACAAAAGCATTTCACCATGGCTACAACCACAAATTGCAAGTAAATTCAGTGTAAAATTCAAATCTTTACCAAGCTCATGCAGCAACTCGTACTTAGTAAAGGGATCCTCCCTGATGACACTATCTGGTATAGAACTCGACGACATTTTCCGACTAACCTGCGTCTGCCCAATCCCTTCACTATTACTCCCACCACCACTCTTCCTCTGCCTCCCGTTTCCCCTCATTCCCACCTCCCCCACCTTCTGCATACTCTCCACCGCCCTCCTCATCGTCCCCCCTCCACTCCCACCACCTGCACCGCCACTCCTCATCACAGTCCCAAATTCTCCCTCCCCGACTTCACCTTCATCTTCGTCCTCGTCCTTCTCTTGCCTCCCCCTCACTACAAACGTCGAAAAATCACCAACATTTTCCTCCTTCACATTTTTACTCTCGGGGCTTCTCTTATCCCAAGTCGGCATCCCCGTACTCCGCGGCTTCGCATAAGGTAACAAAACATTCCTTTCCGTATAATTTGATCGCTTCCGATTAGTTTTCACAATCATAGTTCCCGAACTCGAACCGCCGAGATCGTCATCGTCCGAATCTCCCACGTCATAACCACCTCCACCAAAGTCTTTTGGGAGGCGTTTTAATAAAGGAGGAAGCGAGTCTTCCTCGTCTTCAACAACGTCGTCTTTGTACACCATTGTGGCGTATATATCCGATGATTTTGGATCGGGATCGAGCTCCTTTGATGCCGCATCGTCTTTAATTACGACAGTGGAATACAAGTCGGAGTTCTTCGGCGGCGGAGGCCTTCGAGCCCGCCGGGAGCTGGGAGAAAACTCCATTTTTGAAACTTGTAAGCACCTAGTAGGCTGGCACCTCTGTGCGTGTGAAAAAAGAGAGTGATAAAAAATGGAAACTTTGACCCAATAATGAGTCTGTATGCTCTTTGTGGGAATTACTCTGAAAGCCGGTTGACCCGGTTGAAATCTTTTTTTGGGCCTTTGACCCATTTTTTAACCAGGGAAAAATTCATTTATGAGAGTTTATCTATTCCCTATTTTAAAATTAAGAAAAAAAGGTTTAAATTTCAAAATTCAGATATTGTTAAAATTTATTAATCAAAATATTTTATTAATTATACATATTAAGGTCACAAATCTATTAAATTTGGTCACAGCTTATCAAATTAATTGGTTACAAATTATTTCTAATTCACAAATCGAAAATTTTATATGTCAAAAATTATTTATCGATCACACACCGAAAATTTCATAGGTCATAATTCGTTGATCGGTCACAAAATCAAAATTTTTATTTGTCACAAATCAAAAATTTCACAGGTCACAATTCATTGATTGATCACAAAATAAAAATTTTAATTGATCACAACTCATTTGTCGGTCATAAATCAAAATTTTCATAAGTTACAATTAATTGATTGGTCACAAAATCAAAATTTTAACTGATCACAACTTATTTGTTGATCATAAATTATCAAAATAATGTGTTGTGTTTTACAATCACAAATTATTTTTCGATCATAATTTAAAAAATTTATAGTCACGATTTGTTCATTGGTCACAAATCAAAAATTTATCCGTGACTACTACCACGCCATGACTTCAGCAACAACATTGTTAGAACCACTGTCACCATCTCCCGACAGCAACATCCCCATCTCATATAAACCAACACTGTCGCCTCCCGACACCACCGTCGATAGCAACGCCACTACCTCCAACAAATTAACCATTACAGAACCACCACCACACAGTCACACCACTAGTGCGAGGCTATGCCACGAGCGAAGAGGAAGGAGAGCTAGCCACGCTGACTCACCACCACCACCACCACCATCACCACCCGCACCGCCGCCACTTGCACCGCCTAGTTTGTGACCACACCACCAATGCCAACATTCTTTGTAATACTGTTATATCCACCACGTCAATCACCAGATCCACCAATAAAATCACCTCAAAATCCCAACACCAAAACATGAAAACCCATCACCACACAACACCACTCGCACTGCACACCCTACCTCACCACCGCACCACACATCCGAACAATACCGCATCGTCATCACCACACTACTGCAGTCGCAATCAGAGAGGTACAGATCGCGTTATCTGAGTGCTGGCACTGCTGTGAGCATTGCTTACAACGGCACTCAGATCGACCGCTAGAGCTACCTCCAATGCTCACAGCGACGCTCAGAAGTCAAATCAACACCGATAATTTTGCCGCAGTCGTAGTAGAGAGAAAATGGAGAGAATCTGAGCGTCGGCACCGCTGAGATGGAGAGAATCTAATAGCCCTCAATCGCGATATCTGAGCCCAACATTGCTGACGATTTTGCAGTAGTTGCTGTGACAATCGGTGTCAGTGCCGATGGAGAGAAAGAGACGTTTGAGAGATATAGGGTAGAGAGAGTGTGGAGATAAAGGGTAGAAGAAAATGAATGAATTAGGGCTTCGAATGGGATGGGTGGATTAATTAATTTTTATGGAGTAATTAACTAAAATAAGCCTCTGATTTTTGAAATAATAAACTTAATATATGATTAATGAAATTGAATCTTTAAATCTCTTAGTTCATGTAATTTCCTCTTTTAACAATTAAAAGAAAAGGAAAAAATTTCATTTTCTATTTACCTTTAATACCCTTCTGCCAATCTGCCCTAAACGATTCAAACGGTCCAAGTCAAAATCAATTTGAAACACATGAAGGAGCAGCAACGAAGAAGAAGAAAAACCAGTCGGCCTTTACCTTGCTCGTCGTTGGGAATGAAGAAGAAGAAATTAGTTGGGCCATTTACCTTGCTTGCTGGGTTCTTCTTCTTTTCTGCCATTGTTGTATTTAGCTACCTTGTTGTATTGTTTTATTCACCAATCTCCTTTTACTCAGGGCACCGAAATCGAATTCATAGTTGGCATTGCCGATGAGGATTTAGCCAAATTGAGACAAAAATCCACTTGCATTGCGGTTGGAATGAAGTGCTCACTTACAATATCTCTGTTCTCTCCTCCAACCTTCTCTTGGCCATGAAAAGTAGGTTATGGTTACCACAGCCCTATGTTTCTTTTTTCCTGTGGTTTGAAATTTAGATTTTAATGGTAATCTATAACGGCTGAAAATTTACCCATTTTGGATGTATTATTGTGATCGAATTTGAATTGTTTCTTCATATTAATGTGATTTTTATTTGCACCTTTAAAGAAATTTGTGGGTTTGAAAGAAATAGAAAAAAATAGCTACCCAAAATACAATTTTAATATAAAAACAAAGTGGGTTTTTTGCTTGATTTGGAATTGGATGACATCCTGCTGCTTGTTGGTCGCAGAGTACATATCCTATGACACCCTTGCCAAATATCTATTTCACTGCATGTAATATTATGATGATCTGTTTTTCTTGAATTTGTGCTAATGGAGCTCCTGATTGTTCCTGATTATAGTATCACATATTTGATTTTCTATTTTCCTGATTGACGAATGACTTTGATGGTACATGACTGGCATCATTTTTGTGTTTGCCCAGTTGGTGGACTTTGGGATTCTACAAAGAGTAAACGTGACATTACCTGCAGTATGATAACCGCTATTGGTAACCTAATTGTGTGGAAGGGGGATCTAGGGTAGGGTAGGGTGGGGTGGGGTGGGGGTTAAGGTAATGGAAATTGATGAGAGTAATTAATTCCTACCATATTTTTCGACTATCAAGGGAAAGTCAGACAAATGACTGGGTAATGCGCTTGAGAGTAGCATTGCATATAGCTCAAGCCATGGAATACTATAGCAGTGAAAACCATCCCTTATTCCATGACCTGAATGCCTACAGGGTTCTCTTTGATGAAGTATTATTATAAAATCATTCTCATTTTTTCGAGGCTTTTCATCACTGGTAAGTACGTTCTTGTTATTATGTTCATGTGTGTATAGTTTGAGATTATAGGAGTGAGTATTTATTACTTTAGACTTAAAAGATATGTTGATATTCGATTGGATTATGTAGGATGGTGATCCAAGACTTTCATGTTTTGGGTTGATAAAAAACAGCCAGGATGGGAAAAGTTATAGCACAAATCTTGCCTACATTCCTCCTGAGTATTTAAGAATTCATGATCACTTCTCTAGCTTAAAGATTTTATTTTTACGTGTTTACTTTTGGAAACTACTTTGTCTTCTGTGCATACTGTGACTTTGTTTACCTTTCTCGCACTACACCTTGACATGATTCATATGCATTAATCTGATGTTTAACTTGCTCATTTTTCTAGTTTGTCGGAGAATGTTCTTCTGATAAGTAACTTCGATAATTTTAACGTGAATAACTTTTCTAAAATTTGTAATATGAATAAAATGTAGCTGAAAATTATCTATGTACTCCTTTTCCTTTGGGTTTGTTTAAGAATTCATATTATGCTTGAATATGCTTAGAAGTAGTAAATTTGAGTTATTTATAAGTTGTATTTAAATATTGACAAGATATACCGGCGCTGTCTCCCTTCCATCCTCCCTCATCTAACGACTTTACATCCAGCCTCTTCCATGCCTCTCGACAATAGCCTCTTCTAGGTTAGTTTCTATTTATTTTTTCTTTCTTGTCTTTGCGTTTGATTTATTTATTGTTAACAATATATCTTCAACATATCAAAGAATGATGGAGTACATATATGTCTTTCTTGTGTATATACTTTCTAATAGTCTTTGAAGTGATCATTACTAATATTTTCATGACACTTACAGAATGGAGTACATATACAACATCGGTGATAGATGTGATGCAAAGGTAACGTGTCAAGTGTGGAGAAAGTATATGATGCATTAGATGATGTTCATAAGGAAACGTCCTTGAATTCATGCTTCGGTAAATTATACAACATTAGGAATACGAAAATATTTGCCCAACTAATTCACAACTTGTTATTACGATGGGTTGTCTCTGTGAATGAGGATGAACTATGGTTTTGTTTAGGATTGGAAAAAGTTGCCTATTTTTCTTTGTACAAGTTTACGCTAGTTACGGGATTAAACCCTGCTAATGAGAAGGAGTATCAGAGCCAAATAAATGAAAATGGTAGATTGAAAACTAAATACTTCCCAACATCAAGTAAGGTTACGCCTAAAGAATTAAATGAGGCTTTTGAAAAAGAGATAGAATACATGGATGATAAATATAAATTAGGTTTAGTTCTTATATATGAGACAGTGTTGAGATCCAAAGAAAAAAATACATCTATAGATCTTCGCACCTTGGATATAGTTGATGATTTGGAGCTATTTAATGGATATCCATGGGGAACAAAAAGTTTTAAATTTACAACACATGCATTGCTAAGAGTGTCGAAGAATCCAAAGCCCAAATATTCTTTGTGGGGGTTTCCACTAGCAATACAGGTAAATGGTCAAAACTTGTAATTTAGGCATTATTTTTATTTGATTTTAAATATTTGTAAACAATTTAGACATCTTCTTTCAGGTGTGGGCGTTCGAGTCTATTCCACAAATAGCAAACATGTATCATGCTATGTTACCTGTCAACAAGCTGCCGAGAATGTGCCGTTGGAAATCAACACTTACTCCTAATTCTCATGATATTGCTAAAGTCTTGGATGACCCACAAGTGAGTATATCTTCTATATTGTAATTACTTTTGCACGTTACCTCAAATATCGCTAAAAGGATTCTTTGTCAATTATTTAGCTACAAGTCCGTTGCTCATTGACGGCTTCTCCCGATGAGACTGAACAATAATGTGTGAATTTATTTGTTCACAGATCGTGTTTGGTTCCGACTTATGAGTTTAAAATGATCAAAGTTGTTTTTCGACTATCACTTATCATATGAAATAAACAACTATGAGAAAACTACCCAATATTCATAAAATACAAATTTGGGATG